CCCCAAAACCCCAAAACCCCAAAACCCCAAAACCCCAATTTAAAATATTAAATTTTTTGAGAAGAGAAATGCAATTCACGAATCTAATAGGTAAGCTCTTAATCCATAGACATTTGCTTCAGCTCAATTCACCTTTTTAGGATATATTTAAGCATAACAGTTCCTGAGAAGTCGATTATTTTTCTCACATTTTTGATATAAAATTCTTACATGGAATAACTATAGAAGATTATGAAGACGACCGATATCCTGGACTCCCCTCCTTCGGTAAATACAAGTCAGTCTCAATGAACAAACAAAACAGTTTGGTGGATAACAGTCGCTCGAGAGTAAAATAATGTTCAGACCCCTTCAGATGTGGTCCAAAATGGGAGATATAGAGATTATTCACCTGGAGACATAGTTATCAATACTCCTGTGATGTCTAATCATATACAAATCAACCAAGGTAAGTCTTGCACTTAATCCTTGACCACTGCAACTCTATAGCTTATAAATAAGTACAAAAATGATAAAATTTCTCAAAAGTACCGTCAGAAACCAATTAAATCATCACTGGGTCAAAGTTATCAAATCATGCCTCAGGACCTAACTTACCACCAGAAAGTGCTTAAAGCAAAACAAAAGAGGCGGAAATTCAATACATCAAATTACAGCGTAAAGAGTTTGAATAAGTCAACTTTTGCCGCTGCTAAAAACTTACCTCGAAAAAGGATGAACCGTAACCAGAGTAGGGTGCATGCCACCCAAACTTACTCTACTAGCGGGTTCACAACCGCGCTGGAGGAGGCTCCGAATGCGGAGAGGTTTCCACAGGAACCTCTCCTTCATAAGAAGTTTACCCACCAAGCTTCGGATACTGATATGGAGGTGAGGTCTAACCTCACTGTCGGAGGCTCCCATTACGGAGAGCAAAAAGCCATCCTGAGACGACAAATTTCAGCATTTGTGGATAATTCCAAAATAAAAACTCTCGAAGAACTCCCTAAAAATGATGAATTAACTCGGAAACTCAAGAAAGAAAATAAATTACTCAAGAAAGAAGTCCAGAGGCTTAATTTCGAGCTCACTGGACTGAAAGTCATCCTTCAAAGAATTACCCAAAAATACAAAATTAACCAACAAATGTTGCCGATCAAAGGGTAAGTTAAGCACAATTATCAATTAGGATGATAAATAAGGCCAAAGACGTGTCTGAAGAATGCCAAAACTCAATGAATTTACTTTCAAATAGCCTTGAAAATATTTACCTAAAAGCGAATCAGCCTTCAAACCTTCAACAAAAATGTTCAGATTACATCCAGCATGTTCTGTTGGAAAATCAACAGTTGAGAGAAATGCTTGAAATAAAGACAGAGAATACTCTGACTGTTGACCATCTTACGAAATTAGAGCAAGAGGTACAAGAGATCTTGCTATCTGAAGAATCTGTTGATAATGACACTATTGAGTTAACAAAAATGGTAAAGAAAGCAATCACAGAAACCTCAAAACGGAAGTCTAAAAAGGCTAAGAAAGAGATAGAGCAACAAACTATTACAAACAATTCTGCTGCTAAAGAACCAGACCATAAAAATATGAAGCCAAAGTCTAAATTCTTGTTTGATTCTCCTGAGAATAGCGACGAAGAGGAATCGAGTCAAACTAATGAACCCTCTAGCATAACTCAGCCCCAGGGAATTTCACCACTAAAAGAGCCAGAGGACGACAAGCTGGCCACTAAACCTCCACAGCAGGATGCTAGTTCACTAGGTATCAAAAGCGTAAAGAGCAAATTTCTCTTCGACTAAACCCCTCTTGTCCCGCTACTGAAACCTATAGATACAGAACTAGGTCAAAATCTCGACTTATTAGCTTAAAAATACCCAATAAGGAACCTTAAAAACTCTTCAACCAGTTCTAATGCTCCAGGGGTTTTGGGGTTTTGGGGTTTTGGGGTTTTGGGG